GTCTGGATTCCTCCTCCAGATTCGCCCAGTAAGCCATTTCCTGTTGTGATTTAAGGTGCGCCGTGAGATTTGTTCCTTTCTAAAGAAGGCGTCAATGTTTATCTTGTACCCTGGACAAAAAACATACACTCAAGCCCTGGAGCAGGCCTTCATACACTGTGGACTGCGCCGTCGCCTTCGCGATTGGGTCGTTAATCGAATCCGTGTGGCGTGTTATGAGCTTGGCGAGCTCTTGCCGCAAACGCAGCAAACTGTCGGGAGATCAACCTCAAGCCAAAGGTTGGAGCTAGAAGCAACCCACTTGGAAAAAATCATGGTTTCCTCGGCGTGTTCCGTCAGAGTCACGAATGAGTTGAACAGCACGACATATCGTTTGCATATCTGTAAAGGCGTGAGTGTGCGTTCCTAGGGTAAGCACACAGGCGTACATTCGATACGATGGTGTCGGTGGTTGCGACCGCCCGGCTGAAATACCCTGTGCTCGCGCCCTCGGCGAGCTTTTTCAGCGCGTCAACGTGCTCTGCCATCGCCTTCTGGAACACTGGCCACATCTTCAGTCGCAGGCTGAATATGAACGATTCCGCGGGCGGGCATGCGCGTTTTTGGATTTCGGCCATAACGTCCTCCGTGAGGCGGATCATCGTGAGGAGGGGCACAGCGGGCGGCACAGGATCGAGTGCGCTTCCCAGGAATGTCTGCACTGACTTAATTCGTTTCCTAAAAATGAAACAAAGAAGAGGCTCACCTGCGTGTACTCGAGAACGGGATCCATAATCTGCTTCCATATTGCGTCAGAGCTGGCTTGCTCCTCCTTTACTGCAGCAGCGAGGGACTGCATCCCGCTGGCGCTCACGACGCTGCCGGCCCGGCGGCGCGCGCCCTGCTCCGAGCCCGCCACAGACATCCGCCGCTCCCGTCCGTCGGGGGACAACATCCCGGGGGAGAATAGCGAGTTCTCGACCTCCTGCGGACTCATCAAGGAATCTACGGTGAAGAAGGTCGTGACGAAAGTATATTCCGCCGTCGCGTTGTCCATGAATACCAATAGAAGAGAGCGCACAAGTGCCTCCACTGGCGCTTTCTATTCCGCGAGTCAGGCAATGCTTTCCAAGAATATGCGCGGTCCTTACATGTGTCTTATCATCGGCCATGTACGCCAACGTCACTCCGGGGCCCTCTATCTTGGCGTATGCGAGACGTTCGGGATCGACGTTCAAGTCTCGTTCTCGCTCACTCAGCACTATCGTCTCCAGTTTCTCAGCTGCGCGGCTCTGAAATCGACTAGATCAGGCGTGACTTCAGGCGTTCGATGCAAGGCGCACCTTGATCCATCCCAGACTCCGCGCGTATCGTCGGAACCCAGTCTCGTAGTACACGCGCGCGGCGCTGACATATGAGCGCTGTATCTCCTGCGCGACATTCGGCGCTTGGCGCTGCAGAAACGCGAACAAGGGCCTATATTTGACGAGCACGGAGGTCTGCATAACCTGCATATTTGTTGTGACGTTGCTCCGGATCGGCTGGAAGAGGGCGAGGAAAAACGCGCGCAGCTTGGTCGCTGCCTATGCAGAGGTCGGTACATGAGTATTGGACGCCACTAGACAGTCAGGTGGCTGGGACGCACCACGATCCTAAGCCCTTCAGATACCTCTCCGAGGTCGCGCGCGGCCTTTACGCGCGAGCGTCCCTTCGCCGTGTCCAGCCTGCGCTCGAATTCCTCAATAGCGAGGATCCACGATTCTCCGACATCCGAGTCGAGGATGAGTGTCGCTAGATATGGCGGGATTGTTATGTCTGTTATGAGGCTCGACAGCGGCTTCTCGATTTTCTGGAGGAATTAAAATTTAATTAGGATTTGGCATGGGTGCGGAGAGATGGCCTTACCCGACGGCTCCTGAGCCTGTTCTCGATGTCCTTGCTGCGGTCTTGGAGGTCTGATATTTGGCCCGAGACCGCGGAGAGGTCTTTTTGGAAAGTGGAGAGGAAGGCCTCAAGCGAGTTGAGAAGGTTGACGCTGGTCTTGCGGTGACTGAGTGCCCTGTACGAGGGTAGGAGGGACAAACGCACCTCGACTTGGTCGTGTAGCTCGACGTAGTCCTTGGCCCGTGCACGGTCTTAATTGGGAATTAGTGCCAACCCGCTAAACAGGATGGAGAGCGTACAAAAGGTGGGTTCCGGATGGACGAGGGTCTGCTCTGCGTTACTGCATTAGAAATTCGGTACCTCTTAAAGACTCGTACCAGAGGAATTCGATGACATGGATGCTAAAGCTGAGGACCAAACAGCGACAACATATATACCTCTCTCTACCTCTCACCACCACTCCCCACTTGTCCGTGTATAAGAAATCTAATAACTGTATCATACAACCCCTCAAAACTGCAGCATGCATACATGTTTTGAAACGATTGCTCGAAGAGCTGAAAAGAAACAATATTTTTAACGTGCGTTCAGTTGACGCGCGAAATGGTGGGAAGCCAAATGCACGCGTACTAAGCCTGGGACCCGCGACAAGGGAGCACGAGGGTAGAGCCAAAGCTCTCACCCGCCCCCAGGAAATAGGTTGGCACGCATCCACACGCTGCCAGTGTCCATGCCTCAACGCTCCCACATCTCCGTGGCCTCGGAAGGTCGCCGCCGCTTACATGGGCCCGCCGACCGCTGATACAAAACGGAACCCAAGACAGAGTGGCCGCGGAATACCGTGACAGGGAGAGGAAGAATGCAAAGAAAGAGAGGTTCTTGAGCAGGATTCCCCGAGGTCGTTAGTCGCCTAGCTAGTGAAGGAACCCCCAGCGGTCTTGGCATCTTAAACTTCTTGAAGGCTTGCTGCGAGTCTTGATTCTTGCGCTGTCTTGAGGACCTTGAAGGCGTCTTGAGTTGATTCTTGACAGTCTCCCACCGAGGTCTTGAAATCTTGGACATGAGGGTGTCTTGAAGGCTTGAAATTATGCTTGGGCGGGTCTTGAATCTTGCAGTTGGGGAAATCTTGAAGCGGGTATTGGTGTATGCAGTATGCACCATCTTGAGCATTTTGGACTTAACGCTTGACGCTTGAAGCTTGAAGCTTGAAGTCTGAAGTGATTCTTGCGCTGGCTTGATGATCTTGAAGGGTTCTTGAGCTCTTGATTCTTGACAGTTTCCCACTGAGGGCATGTAATCTTGGACTTGATGACTGTCTTGAATGCTTGAGGTAGATATTGATCCTTGCGCCAAGTCTTGAATCTTGAAGCGGGTCTTGATTGCTTGCGTTTTGGCGAGGATTGAAGGCGTCTTGAACTCTTGACGCTTGACAGTCTCCCACCGAGGACTTGGACGGCGGTCTTGAATGCTTGAGACGGGTCTTGATCGTTTCCCGCAGTCCTGAATTTTGAAGTTGAAGAAATATTGCTTGAAGAACTTGATTCTTGCATTGTCTTGGTTCTCGAAGATCTTGAAGGTGTCTTCAAGTCTTGATAGTCTCCCACTGAGCTTGGGGCGGGTCTAATCAGAGTGGGTTTTGGACTTAGACAACGTCTGAGACTCGCTGCCGGGCTTGCGCCTTACGCGAGGTCTTAAATGTTGAATATGGAGAACGTCTTAACGCGAGTGTTGGGCGAGGTCTTGAGCAGTGTTGATGGTTCTACCCGATCAAAAAAACCCGGTTTGGGTCTTACAGTGCTCTCATCGAAGTTTTGAACCACACTGTCGAAGGCAGCCTTGATGCTCGTCCTTAACGAGTCCTGCGCGCATGGTCCATGGACTTGAGCCTTGAAGGTCTTGGCCCTGAGCGAGGTCTTTAATCTCGAGCTTGAAGGTGTCTTGAGTCTCTTGCTCCTTGACAGTCTCCCGCTGAGATCTTTCACCACAGCGTCGCGAGTTGCCCAGGTCGTTGGTCTTGAGTATGACTTGAGTACGCTTGCGGCGGGCCTTGAAATTTGAGGTCTTGTATGTTCAGCTTGAATGCATCTTGAGGTCTTGACAGTCTCCCACTGGAGGTATTGAACCACGCCGTGGCTGAGCGTCGTCCCGCCCTCAGCAGCGCTGGCACTGATCGATGTGGCCCGCAGATTTCCAAGTAATGACAACTCTCCCTCCTTCCGTCCTTCAAGAGCGGCGACGACACTGAACGAAGGCGACAACCACGACTCTGAACGATGACGACTACGGCGCCAGACACGAATGTGACTGAGCGTACCAGCGAGCGAGTCCTGGAAAGACGTCGACCGGCGAGTGGCACAGCGAGGGGGGAATAAAGGAGAGGGCGCACGGCGAGGAGGGCACGACATGAGGATCGTCAGCGCACAGTATACTTCAGGATAAGGAAGGATGAGATTTACGAGTACTCGACATCAAATCGGTGCAGTTTTTGGGAGGAAAGGAAGGGGAATGCGAGATGATGACGGGAGGAGAGAGGGAAGATGCGGAAGACTCTGTGTTATTGAGGCGGTGCGGTAATGTTTTCGCAACTCAGCACTTTGGAACTCCGCCGAGCCTCTTTCTAGTCAGGAATCTTGAGAGGATGTGGGTCGTTTTCTGCCCACTTAATCGCGGCGGGTAACTCGATTCGGGCGCGCTATACATCCAGCCTTTACTGCCGTGTTCGAATCCTCCCCCCCCCCAAGGCCCGCTCTGATAAAATGTAGTAGTTATTTCCGGAGCGCGAGGACGAGATATAGAGGTAATATGTTAACGTGATATGATGCTTGTCGCTTTGGCACTTTCGAGTTCGCGAACCCAGGTTGGTCGAAGCTCTCACGTGACCGCGATTCGACGCTTCGGCGACTTCGGCAGATCAAGTTGGCGAGCCCTTCCTACCTCAAATCGATACACCATGCCATGCGCTCCTCTTCCTCCATAGTCTGGGTAGGCATGTATGGGATCTATCAAACCATCTCGTTTACTTCGCCAATCGTTGAAAAATAAGATATTGAAGCAGATGTGGCTCATTCATTCGAGCTCTCAGTATTACGTACCACAAAAGGGGTGAATAAATCCAAGTTACTGCCCGCGCAGAGCATGTCTGCGTCGATTAGTGGTTAAATCACCTCGTTGTGGCTTTAAATCGGCGTAAGTTGCTATGCAACTTATGAAGTAATCATCCCCGAGGAGCCGGGTGTTCGATCCACCCCGCGGACAGACTTTTTACATCTTCTAGCTTCACGCGACTGCATGCTACTTACATGAGGCAGGCAGAGGCAGGCCGGAGGCGGCATCAATGTTTGGCACATCATTTTGATCAAGTACCCGATCGGGATTGCCGGGCGCGTCAACTATGCTTTTTTGCGCACCCGGTTGACTCATTTTCCGTCAGAGGCACTACATATAATCTTCCCGGTGTATGGCAGCTGTAACCAATACCATCAAGACCGTAGCGTCTCTGGGCTTTCGAAGGGCAGCGGTTTGTTTCCCACCCGAAACCATTCGTCCCAATCTTAAACGCGTCTGAAGGATATGGCCTCGAGGCCAGCTTTCTCGGATATCCAACTTACTTTTCTTGGAACTGCTTCTGCTCAGCCCTCGTCAACGCGAAACCATTCATCTCTGGCGCTCCGACTAGGTGCTGATGTCTGGCTGTTCGACTGTGGAGGTATGTAGAGTTTTGGTTCCGAGAGGCTGCCACATATCTCGCACAGAGGCAACGCAGAACCAGCTACAGAAAAGTATAGTGAAAATGGGAAAGATTGAAAAAATCTTCATCACCCACACGCACGGTGAGTCTCAGCCGAATCCTCAGCCATCCGCAAACCTTACCTTTACAGGGGACCACATCTTCGGGCTTGTCCCCCTCCTTGCGGGCATTCTCAACGGAGCTGGAGGAGCAGCAGACGGCGCGGAAGATCCAAGGGCACATATCGATGTGAACAATCCTGTGAGGCCCGAGCATCCCACTAGTTGTGCAGCACTCTAACAAAATTCAGGTTGTCGAAATATATGGACCATTAGGGACACGCGCGTACGTTCGCTCAAGTCTGAGGTACACGCATTCACTCCTGGGCGTTCCATACGTCGTGCATGAGCTACGACTGCCCTGGGACCCCCAATCCGGCGACAACACCTCTCTCTCTCGTCACCGTGCAGAATCGCCCTCGGGGCGGAACATCCGGCAAGTCGAGGGCGTATGGCCCAACATCTATCAAGACGAGCGGATCTCTGTTTCCGCTGCCCCCATTCTACATTCTGCCCCCTGCGTCGGTTACGTGGTCCATGAGGCGCCCATCCCCGGCAAGATAGATCCCAAGAAATACATCCCCGAGCTCAAGCGAACAAATACCCCCATGTCAGCAATGAGCCATCTTCAGCAAGGAGAAAGTATCGAGCTCAACGACGGGACTGTTCTCCATGGACCTCCTCGTCGGCCAGGCCGAAAGGTGGTCATTTTGGGTGATACATACGACCCTTCGGCAATCGTGCCTTTGGCTCTTGACGCAGACTTATTGGTTCACGAGGCGACCAATGCACATCTACCTGGCCTGGACGAAGCAACGAAAGCCGAGGACACCTACGAGAGCATCGAGAGCCGGACCAAATCCCGAGGACACTCAACACCGCAGATGGCTGGTACTTTTGCAAAGCGCATCCGGGCAAAGCAGCTCGTTTTGAACCACTTCTCCGCTAGATACGCAGGGAACGATGATGTGAACGCCGAGGCAAAGACAATCATGGATGCGATTGGAGCATTGGCGGCTAAGGAGTATGGTGGCGAAGTAGCATGCGCTCGAGACCTTATGAGTGTCAATGTCGTCACACAGAAATAACATACATATTCAGTCGTCGTCTGGAGGATCTGATAGTATGCTACTCGCGTCGCTTGCTTCACCTTCTTCAAGCTCTTCCTCCCTCTTCTTTTTACTCTTGTTTCTAGGCTCCTCAACTTCCCCCATCTCGATGTCATCTTCTACCGCTTGTTCGGCCGGTAATGAGGAATCGAGTGCAGTCTCCTCCTCGCCCTCCTCAACCTCCATCTTCTCCGGTAATGTGGTCCCGTTTTCAGCCGCAGCCGTGAGGTCGCCTGTAGATTCGGGACCAGGGCTTTCGCTCGGAGATGGGTCGCCCAAGGCGGCCGCGGCCTCCCTGTCCTTGCCCATGAACCTCAACGACCCCAACTCGGTAATTATCCCATCCAGCGCCGACTTCTGCGATTGGATCGTGCGGTTTTGCGTGTCGTGCTCCGCGCGGATAGCAGCCATATCGTTTTCGAGCGATTTAATAGTCCTGTAGCATCCATATGAGTTTCTGAAGGGCTATGTTTAGTAGCAACGCACTGCTCCAACTCTTCCCGGCTCGGGAGCGTGTTGACCTTCTCCGCAACAAAGTCGTACTCCATTTTCCTCCGCCGCAGCATCTGCTCGTGTTCCAGCCCGGTCTTGAGCTGCTCTATTTGACCGCGCAGCGTTCCATGCTCGTCGTCTGCACGTAGTTAGCCAAGTAACGCAATGTGGACCTTGTGTACACACTGATTCGCTCCTTTTCCCGTTGATACTCTTCCACCTGCCGCGCCTCTGCCTCACAGATCATGACGCTCTTCCTCAGCATCAGCTGAAAGGACGCGAGCTCCACCAAAAATGCTTCTCGTGCATCCTCGACAGAGGTGGCGGCGGGAGCCCCAGGCGCCGGAACCGGAGTGACGATGGGCGTGTGGGAGAGGGCGGTGTAGTTGTGGAACTTTTTTATCACACGGCGCAGCGGCCGTTCGTCGTTAGTGATACGAGCAAGGATGATTTGGTCTATAGACATCTCGTCTCTGAGTTTCACGCGACTAAAACGACGACTCTGGATTGACCTTCTTCTTCTGTGGTTAGCGGCGAGACTGAGATGGGTTGTTGAGGGGGCGCGTCAGAAGGAGGCATGGATGTCGAAGGCGTAGGTCGAGGTGCAGGACCAGATTTGAAGATGGCGGGCTTCAACCGATCAAAGGTTTGTGCCAAGAAGCTCATGCCCGATTGGGACTCCTTGTCAAGTTCGAGTGCAAGGAATATACAGTGTAAGGCGCGGTACATTTCTAGATTACATTAGGATACATGTCAAGGTCCCCACTCATCCAGTACAAATGGTGTAACCAATTCATAAGTGTCCTCGTTCCCGCCTTTACCCTTCTTCACCTTTTCTTTCCGCCCCCCGCGTATCAAATTCTTGAACAGCCCCCCGACTCGGCTTCGCTCACCATCGTCCCCGTTAGGTTCAGCGGTCGTGGGATAGCAGGCCTCCAACATTTTTGCTAGCTTGCGCACGCCGCTGCTACTGTCGTTGATGTATCGCCGAGACTCCTCCAGCGCCGCTTGAAGGTACATTGCCATGTTTGGGAAGGAGATGGGGAGCGCAGGGAACGGCACGGAATCACTGGATGGAATCGTGTAGCACTTGGACAGCATCGTGTCCGAATTATCGCGAAGCAGTGCAGGGAATACTAGAGAGGGTGTATGACCAAGGGAGAACATCGACATCGCCGTTCGTCCACTTCCGGGCCCCTGGCAAGGAATTTGGAACGGGATGGTCGATAGTGAACCAGAGTACAGTCCGCCAATCCGAAGAAGAGTGGTGCGGCTAGCCGAATGTTAGCTGATAGATATCAAGTGAATTTTGGCCGCGTACCCGGACGAACTGGACCACCGTTCGGAGATGCATTTGAGCAGACCGTGTCACCGCCAATGCCTCCACCGTCGGCTCAATTCTGGTTCCGCTTAACCGAGCCATCAACTTGAGAAGATGTCGCCAACTGGGCGCTTGCAGATGAAGCGGTGGACATCGACCGTATGGCAGCGAAATTATGTTTGGCATCGATCCAGCCAGGGGCACCAGTTCCGGCGTTATTGACGGAGCTACAAATCCGACCGCTGAAGAGAACATGTAAAAGAGGGTAAATGAAACAAAAGGGAGGAACTTACAAACACCTCGCAGAAGGTCGGCGTCGAGATATTGGTTCGCACTCCTTTGCGTCGTGTCGCTATCCTCACTACGGAGGGATACCGAGGATACTTGGCGGATAATCTCAGGTGGGTAGAGTAATCCTGAAGGCGAGCGAAAATTAGTGGCATCTACGCTGGCAGGACGTGGTGAATCTATTAGTAGTATAGAACTCTCCAGGGATTGGTCGACCCATGTTAATTCTGATCCCGCGGACCTGATCCTCGGGAGGTCTAGGGTTCCTCCGTCGATTGGCGGAGGAACCTTTGCATCCAGGTAAGAAGACGGTTGATCAGGAGGGGTCATTTGGCGGCTTTTCCTTTAAATCGCGCGATAAACGCTCCTCCTCCATAGCGAGTCGACGGGCAAGCTCTCCGTCGGATGAAAATGGTGGTCTCCCGTCCTCGCCGTCCTCGCTGGCGGAGGGAGGACTAGGCGAATACAAGGGAAGATCGCCGTTTTGCAAGGATGGTCCGACTGGGTCGGCGGTGAAAGGCGCGTCTGATTTTGGGGACTTCGGAAACGCTCCACGCACCCCATTCTCCGAAAACGAGGTCTGCGTCGGAGTGGGGTCCTCCCGCTCCTGGGCAGCAAGCATACGGGCAAATGCCGCGTCGTCCATGTATTCCAGTCTGGGAAACTCGGTTGCAGACGGCGTTAACGCCTGACTTGATGACCCTGCTACGGTGGTGTGGACACCATAGGCAGAGGAATACGAGTTTGACCAGGAGGACGTCGCCATAGACGCCTCCAGGGCGCGCGCAAGATCAGCCTCCTCCTGACTGAGCATCTTCTGTTGACGCTTCTCTTGTCTGAGGGTTTCTGCTTGCGACAGTGCTAGAACCGCAGCCAGCTCGGCGAGCTCGGCATCGTCCTCCTGCGGCGTCTGCGGCGTCTGCGGCGTTTCTGGCGCTGGTGTTGGCTCTGGATCTGCGTCCACCGCCGTGTCATCGCGCTCGGCCGGTGGAAGCGGTGGCTCGCTGACGGGGCGGGGCGGCCGCGGCGGCGGCGGTGCACTTGCCGACTCTTTTGGCAGGGCGGCTGCATAGGTGTACGGGTGTGGAGGAACAGGTGGGGGCGCGGTCCGGACGCGCCTTAAACTATGCAAGACATAACCTTGCGGGTATGGGAGACGTGGGGGTATAGGGGAGGTCGGAAGCGGTGGGGGTGTGGATGGCGCGCCCGGCGCTGCCATGAAGAGGACATCGGGATTGTGGATGGATGAGCGGGCGCTG